AATGCGCACTACCCGAAGGATGGACATATTTGAAACACGGACTTCGGTGGGGGGGGGAACCAAGGGCAACACACGTAACCTAAACATATGTACACCCATAATTTTCTGAAATAAAAAAAAAAAAAATCAAAAAAACCCCCTAAAAAGTGGGCAAAAGACACGCACAGAAGATTTTCAAAAGAAGATAGACTAATGGCCAGTAAACATATGAAAAAATGCTCATCATCACTAATCATCAGAGACATGCAAATCAAAACCACAGTGAGATATCCCCTAACTCCAGTGAGAATGGTTTTTATCAAAAAGCCCCAAAACAACTGATACTGGCGTGGATGTGGAGAGAAAGGAACACCTGTGGGACTGCAAACTAGTACAACCTCCGTGGAAAGTAGTATGGAGATACCTCAAAGAAGTAAAAGTAAACCTGCCATTGGATCCAGCATTTCTGCTACTGTGTATACATACCCAAAGGAAAAGATGACATTCTATAAAAAAGACACTTGTACTCAAATATTTATTAAATATAAGACACATAAAAGAGCAAATGAGTGGCCTTGGCTTAGAGGGGACTGTGGTATATTCAGCAGACACCAGTCAGCTTCAGCTAACTGTTGCCAGGCAGGAACATGGGCCCCATACTACAAGATTATAACATTTTAAAAGAAAGCCTGGAAATCTGTAATTTCATGTGAAATATCATTATTTTTATAATAACATTATTTTAATAATATCAATGCCATGTTAAAAAAAGACAAAGCGCTAGGTGAGCCAAATGGGAGTAATCTGTATAGTGTCTGCCTGATGGAGAATATTTGAGAATTTTCAATCAAGGTTAATAGTAAGGCTAAGAGTTACTGCATGATCTCTGTATACTCGATGCTGAGCTGAAGGTGAACATAGGTGGTCTCATTTCATCCTCATATGAATCATCCATGAAGATTAAATAACTGACCTAAGTCATTTGTGTAATAAATGTGGTGTCTCTCCTTTAACCATTCAGCTGTTCCATGGGGTAGAAATTTCAACTCTTTTAACCTTTTCTTAAAGGGCTTTTTAAAATTGGGAGAATTTTAATCAGTGTTTTTCAGTTCCTCTCTCTGAATAACACAGTTCTTCCAGATTAAAGAAATCTAGACCTGAAAATCTAACACAATAGTGTAATAAGTGAAGATAACAAGAAAATAGCTCTAATTACTTGGAAAGCTCTCAATTACTTGAAGGCAGAGTCTTTAAGAAAATAGTTTAAAAAAACTATGGATATGAAAATCAATAGTATTAAAGTTGGATATAGAAGTTATTTATAGTATGAAAACATCTGCTTTCAGAATCTTTTGAAGAAATTATTCCTGCGAGGAAGCTGAAGAATTTCTACCCGGGTGTAGCAGAGCACAAGGACATTTCCAAACTGGTCCTCCTCCTTTCTTCCTCTGTGAATTCTCTGAGAAAGGTGGCTCAGGAGGCCCTGCAAGACTTTCAAAAGTATAAGACTCTCTGGACAGAGGACCGGGATGTGAAAGTGAAGGTGTATTTTCTCTACTTGTGGTGTTGTTTTTAATTGTTTATCTCCAACTCTTTTTTTTCCCCCTTTATTTCAGAGCATTATGGGGATACAAACATTTTGGTTACATGTTATGACTTTGCCACGCCCAAACCATGATTTGAGGTGTGCCCTTTCCCCCCTACCATGCTCACCGCATCCATTAGTTGTGGGTTTACCCACCCCAGCCCCCCAATCCCTAAAGAATATTACTGCTGTGTGAGCACCTTATGGTTGATCAGTCAGTGCCAGTTTGATGGTGAGCACATGTGGTGCCTATTCTTCCATTCTTGTGATACCTCACTTCGGAGGATGGGCTCAAGCTCTATCCAGGAAAATATAAGAGGTACTAGATCACTATCATCTTTTATAACTGAATAGTATTCCATTATATACATATACTACATTTTATTAATCCACTCATGGATTGACAGGCACTTGGGTTGTTTCCTCATCCTTGCTATAGTGAATTGTGCTGCCATAAACATTTGAGTGCAGATGTCTTTATTATAGAATGACTTTTGTTCCTTTGGGTAGATGCCTAATAGTGGTATTGCTGGATCAAATGGTAGTTCTACTTGTAGCTCTTTGAGATATCTCAAAATCCTTTCCCCAAAGCTTGCACTAATTTGCAGTCCCACCAGCAGTGTAAGAGTGTTCCTATCTCTCCACATCCTCACCAGCATTTATTGCTTTGGGATTTTTTGATAAAGGCCAATCTTACTGGAGTTAGGTGATATATCATTGTGGTTTTGATTTGGATTTCCCTAATGATTAGAGATGTTGAGCATTTTTTTTATATGTTTGCTGACCATTATTCTGTCTTCTTTTGAAAAATTTCTGTTCATTTCCTTTGCCCATTTATTGATGGGGTTGTTTGATTTTTTTCTTGTGATTTTTTTGAGTTCCAGATAGATTCTTGTTATCAGCCCTTTATTGGATATGTAGAGAGAAAATATTTTCTCCTATTCTATAGGCTGTCTATTGGCTCTAATGATAATTTCCTTGGCTGTGAAAAACCTTTTTAATTTTATCAGGTCCCATTTATTTTTGTTGCTGTGGTAATTGCTTTGGGGGTCTTCTTCATAAATTCTTTGCCTAGGGCGATGTCTGAAAGGGTCTTCGCTATATTTTCTTCTAGGATTCTTAAGTTTTCATGCCTTAGGTTTAAGTCTGTTACCCATCTTGAATTGATTTTTGTAAGAGGTGAGAGGTGGGGATCCAGTTTCAATCTTCTACACATAGCTATCCAGTTTTCCCAGCACCATTTATTGAAAAGAGATTCTTTTCCCCAGTGTATATTTTTGTCAGCTTTGTCAAAGATTAGATGAACATATGTGGATGTTTTTGTCTCTGAATTCTCAGTCCTGTTCCAAAGGTCTGTATCTCTATTCTTGTGCCAGTACCGTGTTGTTTTAGTTACTATAGCTTTGTAGTAAAGCTTGAAGTCTGGTAGACTGATACCTCCCAGTTTGTTCTTTTTGCTTAAGATTGCTTTGGCTATACGAGGTCTTCTATGGTTCCATACAAAATGTAGAATTATTTTTTCTAGATTTGTAAAGAATGATGAGGGTACTGTGATAGGGGTTGCATTAATTCTGCAGATCACTTTAGGTAGTATGGACATTTTAACAATGTTGATTCTGCAATCCATGAGCAAGATAGATTTTTCCATTTGTTTACATCTTCTATAATTTCTTTTCTTAGTGTTTCATAGTTCTCTCTGTATATCTCTCTCACCTCTTTCTTTAAACATATTCCTAGATATTTAATTTTCTTTGAGGCTATTGTAAAAGGTATTGCATTTTTGATTTGAATTTCGGCTTTGCTGATACTGGCGTATATGAATGCCTCTGATTTGTGTGTATTGATTTTGTATCCTGAGACTTTACTGAATTCATTTATCAATTCCAGGAGCCTCGTGGTTGAATCCTTGGGGTTTTCTAGATATAATATCATATCATCAGCAAAGAGTGAGAGTTTGATCTCTTCTGCCCCATTTGGATGCCCTGAATTCCCCTCTCTTGTCTGATTGCTCTAGCAAGGACTTCTAACACTATGTTGAATAGAAGTGGAGATAGTGGACATCCTTGTCTGGTTCCAGATCTAAGTGGGAATGAAAGCGGACTGAGCAGAGGCCCAGGACCTATAAATGCCAAGCTCTCTACACATTCTAGCTGGTGTGATTCTCAAACGGATACACTGAGGCAATTGATCAAAATGAGGTTTCAGACAGATTTCATTTAATCCCCTTAAACAATTGAGTACCAGTTATGTGCCAGACACTGTCCAGAGGCCACATATTCAAGTGTGTGTCACCCATATGTAGACCCAGCTGTGTTTTTGGTTAGAGGCTCAAGGAAATTTTAGAGTTACGAATAACCATTCACAGTAGGCTGTGAAATTCCCTCTCATAGCCTCCTCTCCCACTACTACCAGGATGTCTCGTTCTTCATCCAGCCACTGGCCCCATAGCACATGCAAGTGTGAAAGCATATAAGCAAATGCAGTTTTCTGATTTAACTATTAAAAGTGCAAGATTTATACTGTTAAAAAATTAAAACAAATATTAACTCTTCCTTTACTATAGGAGTTTTTGGCTAACAACCCCTCTCTGACAGAAATCAGATCAGAAATTCTACACTATGCTACTTTTGAACAGGAAATTGAAGATTTGAAGCCAATTATTATTGTAGGAGCACTTGAATTACATACAGGTATTTAAGAATTTCATATTATATAAAGTATCTATATTTTGACATGAAGTGTTACTTTATTTAGCAAGCAGTTATTAAGCTACCTTGGTATAATATTATAAATGTTAAATAGTTCTGGGCCATCAGTATTCTTTACACACAAAACACACACACACATACACACACACACACACACACACACACACACACCACAGTCTGATTCTTCAAATGGCAAACAACTAAAACTACAGGGGAAATTCTCTTTTAGGTTACTGTGAAGAGGGATTGTGTACATGAGATAAGAGTCAAATGATTTGAGGTCTCCTGAGAACTTGATCCATTTGGGATCAGAGTATCAAAGGATGATGAGACAACCACTTAATAAAGACTGAGATGACTTCACTGCTTGCTATAGGAAGAGAGAGCTATGTTGGTCAGGCATAGTGTTCTTGGCGGGGCAAACTGCTGGTCTTATATAGAGCATCTGGGCAGCATGGGGTTCAAGGACTGTGGATGTAAATAGATTGACACCATCTGTAGGAGGATGCATACTCAGGCGAGACTGCTGGCGATTGGTTGACACTCAGAGGCAGTTTATTGGAATATGTCCCTCCTGATTAGTTGACATTCAGAGGAAAGGGGCTGATACCGATTGGCTTGCAAAAGTATGAGAACTGAGGTGAATTGGTCTATGGTTTGGGTTTAAAACTGGTTGTGGTGGTTATTACCATGGTTACAGAACAGTCAGTCTTGTCCTAAGTTTGTGGGAAGATTTTATTCTCAAATGATATTTGAATGATCTATTTTACATGAATTATCTATCTTAAGTAGATTTTCAGACCTATCCTTAAGGAGTTAATGTAACTGTGTCCCTCGAATTTGACCTCATGACCTTTTTAACCTTCATTTCCTCTGCTGGTGATAATTACAGTATGTACTTCATGAACTTCTTTATATGAGACACTTAGCATAGTACCCAGAAAATAGTTGATGTTCAATAAATGCTAAATCCTGTTATTATAACTACCAAGAGAGGATTTAGTAACTTGGTAGACTGAGGCAGGAAGGAAGGCTTGAGGCCAGAAGTTCAAGATCAGTCTAGGCAATATAGTGAGACCCCCATCTCTAAAAAAAAAAAAAAAAAAAAAAGAAGAAAAATTAGCTGGGTATGGTGGCATACCTGTAGTCCTACCTACTTGGGAGGAGGATCACTTGAGCCCAGGAGTTTGAGGCTGTAGTGAGTTATGATCGTGCCATTGCACTCCAGCCTGGGTGAATGAGTGAGAAAATTAAACAAACAAACAAAAAGAAGGAAGTATTCAATTTGATGAAGAATCACAAATACTTGAGGGCATTTCATGTAGAGTTTGGGGATTTCCCCTCAAGTACTTGAGATTCTTCCTCAGATTAAATAGTTACAGGAATTTCTACAGGAGTAGAATTTTAGAAACTGCACTCTATTATTTTAAAAAATTTTCTATTTGTCTTCTCATAATGGTTAGCATTATGACTCTTAATATAAAAAGCAACCGTAAGCTGGGCATGGTGGTGTGCACCTGTGTAGTCCCAGCTACCAGGGGGCTAAGGTGGGAGGATCTGTTGAGCCCAGGAGTTTGAGGCTGCAGTGTGCCATGATTGTGCCTGTGAATTGCCACTGCCCTCCAGCCTGGAAGACATAGTGAGACCCCGTCTCTGAAAAAGAAAAAAGCAACTGCAGCATAGTGTTATGGTGGGCCAGCCCATGGGTGCTTGTTTCTGGAGAGAAGAAATTAACAAACGCAATAGGTTAGTGATAATCATGAAGAAAGAGGAAGGGCGGCTGAATCCCTGAGGCCTGGAAAAGGAGAAAACAGGCCTGTGAGAGGGCCACATGAGGTATGATCTCATGTCTCAATCAACAAGCTGGCTGCATGGTTCTTCTTGGGCCACACTTTTTCCTTAGCCCCACAGGCCTCTCATTTGAACTGTTGGAAGGTGAGAGGGGAGCAATCACATTTCAAGCTTGGCAGGGCTGGGGAATGTAGGGGTACTGAGAAGAAAAGGGAGGAATGGGTAAGGATTGTTAAAGTAGGGTTGACTAGTTAGAGCTGCTCTGTTTTCAGGAAACAGAAACTCATTTAAGCTGTGTTAAGGGAAAGAAAGTATATCCCAGAATCCAAGATGCAATTGGGCCTTCAGAATGGACCAGAACGAGTTACGGTACAGGAAGCTGAGGAAGTACTTTCTGTCTGCCTCTCGTCTCTCTTTCCCTCTGTGCATAACTTTTTCTGCTTCCCAGACCACATGACTCCCCTCACATCTCATTCCACACTCTCAAGACGGGACTCTGATTGGTCCATGACAGGTTGGGTTGACCTGGGACCCTTGACTAGGCCCAGGGGACAGGGTCAGGTTATACAGATGCTCTAACCATGTGGGTGAGGCAGACAGTAGAATAACAAGAAAGCTAGAATCGTGGTTGGACAGACAAAACACTAGATTTCACTCTACTGTGTGGGGTTCCCTAGAGGAAAATGGGGGAATGCGTAAGGGCTGCTAATGGGATGGCCAGAAACAGAACAAGGTTCACGCAGACCAGTGCTAGAACTAATTTCAGAAATTCTCCTGTAATGTCCATCTCATGCACAGCTCCATGGGGATATATGAGGGCTGTCCGGAAAGTATCTAGCCCTTGTTAATATGATCTTTCATATTATGTGGTTGGATACTTTCTGGACAGATCCCGTATATCCCCGTGGCAATGGGAAGTAAGTCTTCAAAATCTAGTAACTTTTCAGCACATTGAATTCAGACTAACCACATTTCAAGTGCTCAGCAGCCACATGTGGCTAGTGACCACCAAATTGGACAGTGCAGTTAGAGATGCTCAGATTGCACAGTTTCAGAATGCCCCACTTGTGTTCTATTTTCATCTTTTCTTGTCTTCTTCAGAGCCAATGAAATTGGCCTTATCAATTGAGGCTAAAGCATGGAAGATGTTACTCTGTCGATATTTGAATGAAGAATATAAGAAGAAAATGTCAGACATGATTACATTTATTAATGAATACTTGAAAAAGTTGTCTAGACCTATTCGTGATTTAGATGATGTCAGATTTGCAATGGAAGCCTTGTCTTGTATCCGTGATAATGAAATCCAGATGGATATGACTTTGGGGCCAATTGAAGTAAGAAATGATTGCATTTTTCTTGAAATGCTTTATTTTGGGGGGGGGGAGCAAATAGAGACACACTAAAAGAATGATTCTTTAACATATTCCTTCATCTATTATACGGAAAAGTCTGTTTATTTCTCCTTTCTGATGTTGATGTCTTTGGGGGAATTTTGACAATTATTAACAGTGAACAGTATGCAAAGAAATATTAATGCATTAATGATGCTGTACTAGCTATACAGTGTTCAATTTTTGATACCGGCACCAACATTTTATAGAAAGGAATGGTTGCACTCTTTCATGTCAATCCCAACATGTTAGGCAAGTTCTCCAAATATCTTTGGCTTGCCTTAAAAACTGGTTCCAGGTCTCACTCGTGACCAGTGGCATACCATGGCAGTATGGTGGGAACGGTCCACCCAGGCTCAATAGTAAACTATTGGAACTTCTATCAACAAAAGATGTTTTTAGGAAAGAGCGCTGTATTAGTTTCCGACTGCTGCTACAACAAGTTATCACAAACTTAATGGCTTAAAATAGCACAAATTTATTATCTTATAGTTCTAGAGATCAGAAGTCCAAAAATGGGTCTTATGGGGCTAAGATGAAAATATCAACAGGGCTGCATTGCTTCTGGAGGCTGGCTCTAGGAGAATGCATTCCTTGCCTTTTCTGGCTTCTCAAGGCTGCCCACCTTCCTTGGCTCATGGCTCCTTCCAGCAATGGCATGACTCCTACTTCTGTTTCTGTTTCTTGTCATATCTTCTCTGACTCCACCTCTCCTGCCTCCTTCTTTCCCTCGTATGGACCTTTGTGATTATGTTGGGCCCAGCTGCTTAATGCAGGGTCTTCTCCCCATCACAAGCTTCTTAACTTAATTGCATCTGCGAAGTCCCTTTTGCTGTGTAAGGCAATATATTTCCAGGTTTTGGGGATCGGGATGTGACAACATTGGGGAGTCCATTATTTTGTCTATCACAAGTATTTTGTGGTTAATATTATTTAGAATTTCTGACTCATAGATAGAGATAGATGATGATAATAAAAATCGGATTTTTAGTTAGTTTTATTATCGTTCTATAGACAACATACTCCCTTATTGCCTGCGATAGCTGGGGAATTGGCACCCCCACTGCCTCCTCTTGGTACCCAGTGCTCATGACTCTTTTACGCTTTCTTGAACCCATTTAGGGTTTATACTCTTTGGAAGCTAATGAACTTCCTCCTTTTGCTACTTTTAAAAATCTTACTAATTGGGAATTCTGGACGCTGACCACTCATTTCTCAACATGTAATAAATTATCATTTTTTTTTTCTGACTGCAGAAGCTTACTTCTTCAGCATACATTCTTTTGGTGAAGCCAATTGCCAGTCCATCCCTTGGATCATTCAAGTTTCTTTTTTTTTTTGGAGTATCTCCCATGTCTTCATTGTGTTGCATTCCTTATATAGCCAACCCTGTTTTAATAGTGTATGAGAAATTGTCTTGCATGGTGTTGACACATGATCAAGGAGGAGAGAGACAGAAAATGATTCTAGAGATATTTTCTAGGATAGCATCTCTCAATGTGATCTGACTACATCATCTCCATCAGAATCACCTAGGTGCTTATTACATGCAGATTTCAGAGCCTATGATCTAGAGTCAATATCTAGTAGTCAGTGAGAATCTAAAGGTGCTTTTTATGCACATTTAATTTTGGAAACCATTCTTCTAATGTATGTTGTCTTCCTCTAAGACATAGGAACATGTTTCTAGAAGGCATCTAAAGAATTTGGCAAGTGCTTTCCCTTGTGATATTTCTGAACTCTACCTCTGCTTTTTAGGAAGCCTATGCTATTTTAAATAGATTTGAAGTTGAAGTAACCAAAGAAGAATCAGAAGGAGTTGATACCCTGAGATATTCTTTCAACAAATTGCAGAGCAAAGCTGTAAGTACAAATTTAAGTACCGTATTTTTCATTAAGTCACTATCTCCAGAAAAAATGTATTTCATACTTTTTAAATGCTTAATACACAGTTATGTGCATTATACATAATGATTTTTCAATCAGTGACAGACCACGTGAATGATTGTCTTATAATATTAAGTTTATAATACCATATTTCTTTATATAGTTCTTTATATAGTTTGGATTCAAGTTCCTTGTCGGATAAATTATTTGCAAATATTTTCTCTCATTCTGTGGGCTGTCTTTTCACTTTATTGATGGTCTCTTTTAAAGCACAGAAATTTTTAATTTTGATAAAGTCTAATTTACCTGCTTTTGTTTTTGTTGTTTCTTGTGTTTTCGGTATCATATATAGGAAACCATTGCCCAATCCAGAGTTATGAAGATTTACTCCCAAGTTTGCTTATGAGTGTTTTATAATGTTTGGTCTCTGATACATTTTAAATTAATTTTTATATGTTACTGGTCCAACTTCATGCAAAAGCATGTGGATGTCCAGTTATCTCAGTATCAGTTATTGAAAAACTATCCTTTCACCAATGAATCATCTTGGCAACCTTGTTGAAAATAAGTTGCCTATAAATGTAAGGGTTTATTTCAGACTCTCAATTCTATTTTGTTGTTCTGTATGTCGATCCTTATGCCAGTACCACACTGTCTTAATTACTGTACCTTTGGACTAAGATTTTTAGGGCTGGGTACAGTGGCTCATGCCTGTAATCCTAGCACTTTGGGAGGCAGAGGCAGGAGGATCGCTTGAGGCCAGGAGTTCCAGACCAGCCTGAGCAACATAGTGAGAGCCTGTCTCTACAAAAAATAGAAAAATTAGCTGGGCATGGTGGCATGTGCCTGTAATCCCAGCTACTCAGGAGGCTGAGGCAGGAGGATCCCTTAAACCCATGTGTTTGAGGTTGTAGTGAGCTATGATGATGCCATTGCATTCTATCTGGGGCAATAGAGTGAGACTCTGTCTCAGAAAAAAAAAATTGTAGCAAAATACACAGAACATAAAATTTACCGTATTAAAAATATTTACCCATGTTAACCATTTTAAGCATATATTTTTATAGTTATATTCACATTGTTGTGCATCCAGTCTCCACAACTTTTCTTCTTGCAAAACTGAAACTCTATACCCATTAAACAACTCTCCATTTTCCCCTCCCCCTGCCCCCTGATAATCACCATTCTACTTTCTGTCTCTATGAATTTGACTACTTTAGGTACCTCATATAAGTGGAATCACACAATATTTGTCTCTTTGTGACTGGCTTATTTCACTTCGAGTAATGTCCTCAGTGGTCATCCATGTTGCAGCATGTGCCAGAATTTCCTTTCTTTTTAAGGCTAAATAATGTTCATTATATGTATATACCATGTTTTGTTTATTCATTCATTCAACAATGGATACTTGGGTCGCTTCTATCTTTTGGCTGCTGTGAATAATGCTGCTATGAATATAGGTGTACAAATATTTCTTTGTGATCTGCTTTTAATTCTTTTGGATATATACTCAGAAGTGGAATTGCTGGATCATATAGTGTTAAATAATTATAAATAATCCTACTTTTAATTTTTGATTTTTAGAGATAGAGTCTCGCTCTGTTGTACAGGCTGGAGTGTAGCAGCCCGATCATAGCTCAATGTAACCTCAAACTCCTGGGCTCAAATGATCCTCTTGCCTCAGCCTCCTGAGTAGCTAGAACTACAGACATGTGCTGCTATGCCTGGCACATTTTTCTTAAAAAGTTTTATAGTGATGAGGGTCTTGCCATATTGCCCAGGCTGGTCTTGAACTCCTGGTCTCAAGTGACCCTCCTGTCTTGGCCTCCTAAAGTGCTGGGTTTATAGGTGTGAGCCATTGTTTCTGGCCCTATTTTTAATTTTTTGAAGAACTGTCATACTGTTTTCCATAGTGGCCACACCATTTTACATTGCCACTAACAGTGCATAAGGGTTTCAATTTCTCCACATCTTTGCCAAAATTTGTTATTCTCTGTTTCCTTGATAGTAGTCATCCTAATAGGTGAGGTGGTGTATCATGTTGAGGTTTTGGTTTACATTTTCCTAATAGTTTGTGATATTGAGCATTTTTTATATGCTTGTTAGCTATTTGTATATCTTCTTTGGAGAAATTCAAGTCCTTTGCCCAATTTTTAATCAGGGTGTTTGTCTTTTTGTTGTTGAGTTGTAGGAGTTCTTCATACATTCTGAATATTAACCCCTTATCAGATATGTGACTTGCACATATTCTCTCCCATTTTGTAGGTTGCTTATTTACTTTGTTGATTGTGTCCTTATAATGCCCTTTCTTTCTTTTGTTCTTCCTTTCATATATATGTAGGGGGAGGGTCTTCTGGTGAGGACTGGAAAACCTGCTAGACAAATTCTAAAACAACTGTAACACTTGCTTTCTATTTCTGTAAAGCTGGTAGTGATGACCCTTCTTTCATTCCCAATTGTAGTAATTTGAAGAGTCTTCCTTATTCTTGGTTACTCTAGGTATAGGTTTGTCAATTTTGTCAATCTTTTCAAAGAAGTAACTTTTGGTTTGTTGTTTTCTCTATTGTTTTTCTATTCTCTCTATCATTTATTTGTGCTCTAGTGTTTATTATTTCCTTCCTTCTGATTGCTTTTTAATTTGTTCTTCTTCGCCTAGTTTATTAAGTTTAGGTTACTGATTTGAGATGTTTTTTCTTTTAATGGAGGCATTTATAGTTATAAATTTCTCTAAGCATTTTTAAAATTGATAAACATCTACACACTACAAGTTAGACATTAAAAATGAACTCCAAGTGATGGTTCACTTTCTTTAATTGTATTGAATTTTATTGAATATTAATTAAATTGTACATTGGCTTAAAATTTCTCATTTATGGAAAGATTTGTCACTGATATTGAAGCAAGGCACAGTAGCAAGGACACAGAATTGAAACTGGGGTCATGGCTTGTGACTGCATCTCTGCCAACCAGTCAATTGGATGATCTTATGCAAGTTGATAATGTTTGTTCTCAATTTCTTCATATGGTCATTCAGGAATATTAATAATTTTTATATGTAATTGTGAGGCTCACTTGAGGTAATGTATATAAAATATTTTTTAGTACTCATGTTTATTTAAATTCATATTCAATATCAACTAATAGCTTACTTTGAAAAATGCTTGCTGGTTAGTTAGGGGAATGGGTCTTACAAAAGAAATGGGGAATTCTCCATTGAGATTTAGTGCAACCTAATTTTCTGTTATTTTTCAATGGAAAAGATTCATTTAGGTAGTTTTCTAGCTCTTTAACTGTTAGCGTTAAACCCACTGACCCATCCTTTAGTAGAGATAGACTGTTCTACACCATGATCACCATTAAACTTAAATCTATTCTGACGTATAAATAGATGATATTGCTGAGAACAGTTAAGAGCAGGAGCCCTGGAACCACTCTGCCAGGTTTTGAATCTTGACTTTGCCTTGTACTGGTGCTGGGATTTTGGGGATTTCTCTGCTTCAATTTCCTTGCCTGTAAAACGGGTATAATATTAGCATTATATGATTTACTAACCTGGGGTTGTTATGAAGATAAAATGAGTTAACGTATGTAAAGAGCATGGCAGACAGTAAACATTATTTCAGTGCTAGCTATTATTATTGAAGGTTTAGACAGAAGTTTTCAAGACCATTGTGGAGGGTATTTGCTATTTTTTAAAAATATATTTAGAGTAATACTGCTTTCTTTTAGGGAATTACTCCAACCACTGAAGCCATGTGAACCTATTAGAGATTGCTAATCCCAGACTTTGGCCGGGCCGCAGAGATAGCACGTGACCCAGTCTGGGCCAGCAATAATAACTCTTCCCTGAGCCGAAGCAATGGTCTGGGCTGGATCAGTGAGAAAACTTTTTGCTAACCACAGTTCCAGGGAAAATGACTTTGCTCCTTGAGTCACAAACTAGGGTGATTTGAGTCGCCTGTAGGTGCCTTTGGGTTGTTAATGTATTTTATTACACACAGAGACATCCTTGTTCACATAGGACATCTCCATGAGACAAACCTGCTGGGATAGAGTTGTTCTCATTTTTAACATGTTACTTTCACTCTCATGTTGAATATTGTTTCTTTTATTCTAGGTTTCTGTACAAGATGAACTAGTTCAAGTGCAGCCAAAGTTTAAAAGTAGCCTACTCGAGTCTGTGGAAGTGTTTCGCGAGGACGTGGTAAACTTTGCGGAAGCATATGAGTTGGTAATTTAAGTATTTGCTTGCTGTGTGTTAAAATGTTCTGTGATATGTTCGTATGAAGTGAAAGTGATGAGCCCTGAGAAATAGGTATGTCGCATGTTTGCAGCTCTCAGAAAAAAGGGATGGCTAATCTTTTAAGCACATTGTATAGAGAAAGAAAGCAGATTTTACTGTTAAAAGAAACAGCAACTTTAGAGATTATGAAAGACCAAAAGGTCTGGTTTCGTCCTTTCGCAGGGCCAGAATTCTTGCGGCAGAAAATGTGATACAGGTTTTGGAAGGCTGTAAGAAACTATAAACACCTCAATGCCAGGGTGTTATGCAATTGATTTTGCATTTTCACTAACTTTTAGAGAACCAAAATCACTGAAAATAAATAGTAGATGTCATGCTGGATCAGTTCACAGGCTACTCAGCCTGGTCTTCTGACTGATAATGGTGACCTCCCTGAAGTTAAACTCAAAATGTTCCCCTAAAACATTCTTTCTTATGGTGGTCACAAGGGATCTGTGTTCATAAGATGATTTAAGGCCCTTGGTGCTACTTATATAATGCTTTTATTTTTATATGAACTTAACTCTTTTGATTTGTCCTGT